TGCACATCAACTTTGCACAACTTACTTAATTTGACCTACTTTGAAACTTGGAAAGAGTTTTTAATGGCTTAGCATGTTGTTCCAACCCGACCCAGTTGAGTTGTGTTATGATTCAATGAATTGGCTGAAGCCAGAAAATGGATTAACTCTGTGACCAACCTGAGTGTATTATGAGAATGGGGTCAGTGAGTTTCTTTCTCATGTTCTGAGAAGTGGTTTACAGTTTCATGCCAGTATGCAAATCGTGTTTGGTTGTCAAATTCAAATCAATCTGTAGGGTGAGCATAAACAGAGCTTTGCTGGATCATTTGAAAAGGCTAAGTATCATTCCCACATAATAAAAAGGGGGAGGGCTTTTCTATGTTGGAAGAACAGATAGTGTGTGTGACCCTGGGATTTATTAGAAGTTCGTTTTCAAAGAACCAGCCCAGGGGTCACCTAATGAAGAGATTGGAGGGAGATTTAGAACAAGCAAAATAAATTAGTTCTTGGCACAGTCTGTAATTAATCTGTGGAATTTGTTACCACAAGCTGTGGTGATGGCCACTTATTTGGAGGGCCTTAAAAAGGAATAGGATAAATTCATGGAGTGCAGGTCTTTCAAGGACTAGTTGTCTTCAATACACAGTGCTATTTATGAGTTAGGGAATAGCTTATCTCTAAATACCAGCTGCCAGGGAACAATGATATGAGAGGTATGCTTCCATCTCCTGCTTGTGAGCACCTCAGAGGTATCTGGTTGGCCACAGAGAAACCAGGTGCTGGACTAAGATAGTTATTCACAAACCATACAGAAATCTAAACCTGGCTTAATGGAACACAATTCTTCTGCTGTGCCCAAATAAATCAAATGATGACTTAAAGTGATGGCCTGGTTCACACAGCGTACCAAGAGCATGGCTAGGTTCCCACAAAATGCTGAACCACAAATTATCCAACCCCACTTTAGCTTAGAATAGCATTTTGTGTGAGCACAGCCATTATGTAGGGATAACGCCAAGAGACATCGGCTCTCTCCTGCAACTTCCAGAATTCCACCCGTGTTCCATAATTATAATGGTTAGTTCACAGACTGATAAAGATGCAGGAGATGGTTTTGTAAACAGCCACTTGCAAGTTCATCAGGTATCAATAATTTAAAAAGCTGCCTCCTCAGTAGTCCACAGGAAAGCCATTAAAAAACCTAAACAGCTTCCTCTCTAATGGGAGACAACTGGTTCTAAATTGGAAGTAACTCTATTGCTGAAATTCTTGCAAGTTTATCCCTTTCATCTCAGTAACTCTTGTTAAAGAAGTACCTGTGAGAATCTTGTTTGGAAAAATTACTTTCCAACAGAAGAGAATATCTGTAGCTCAGGGTTGAACTGGGGAGTTATGGTTCATTACACAGTTCATTGCACTGATGATGTTCCCTAGTGGGGTAATGAAAAGTCTGCAAGCAGACGAGACAGCACCAAGAAATCCAGAATTACATTCAGTTGAGGTAGCTTCCCAAAAAACCTGACCCTAAATTCAACAGATCCATGTTAGGAGCTCACCTTCATTGAGTAGGACCGTTTGGGGCTCTCTTTTCTTCCAATTCTTACGGCAACCTATGCGCGGCATTTAGACTTTCTGTGAAAGAATCCCACACCTCTGATTTCAAACCAACCCTCCTATCAATTTCAGACTGCAAAATACCCTGGAGATCTTTTGACTATGTCTTTGCCTGGAGGACCACGGATGGTCTTAAGGCAAATGGGCTGCAATTGTTCACCTGGGATTAGTCATGCTCATGGGCGGAGGGGCTGGCTGGTTGGAGAACCATGCAAAGCGCCGAGCGCCATGGCGAGTTGACCATGCCAGCAGCAAACAGAATAGGCCATGTTCCAGAAAGGAATTGTTTGCAAAGGTCGCTGTGCTTGTAGGTTTCAGCCTTCTGAACAGCAGATGTCAATAATAACCCACAATGGGGGTGCACATTAGCTTTAACTGTGAGGTGTGCTGATCATTTAATAGCACACTGCTGTGGGGCTGGCAGCTTCCAGGCTATTTACATCTCTCTTTGAAGTGTTCTGCTGCACGTATCTCCCCTTTCCTTTAAAGTAGGGGTGTTTGAACAACAATTCCTTCTGAACAACAGCTTGAACGTAAGATTGAGAGGGGAAAAAAGGAATATAAAGGAATGGGCAGACCTTTAATCCACCATTCATGTCATGTACTGTGCGACTTACAATATCTAACTTCCAGAAGTATTTAATCAGTTTTATTGCTCATTTCTCTTTCTTCCTCTTTTGTGTCCAAGGTGAGTTTACACAGAATTATACATTCAGATGGTGTGAACGGTGAACTGTGTTTAGCAGGAGGCCTTGAATAATTCTGTTTTCCAATGTGGGAATGTTTATGCAATGGCTTGATTTTTTCCCTCTTTTGTGCTTAAAATGGAGGGGTTAATTTTTTTCAACAAAAATAAATGTTGGTTGGGACTAGATTGGCATAATCCTTCCCAAATATACTTTACAGGGCCATAGTGTTAAATTGTATCTATCTGCAACCATTTTTTCTTGTCAAAAGTCTGCAAAAGATGCATCAAAGAATAGGTTATGCTTCTGGAAGTGATGGACAGACAGCTGTGGTTACATTTTTTTTAAAAAAAGATATTACTTTAAAGAAATGTATTTTTTAAAGACCTACAGTAGGTAAGAGACATTAACATAATAAGAATAACATCTAGGAACTGTACTTAAAGGAGGAAATTTGCATTAACACCTCCTCCTATTAATGCTGATGTGCCCCAACCAGTCTTCATTTTTTACCTGGATTTGAAAATTATTTTTTTAAAAATAGAAAACTAGGCATCATCTTTATTCCCAGGAGCAGTGCTTGGCCCTGCATTCTTAGGAAGAACGATGGTTTTTTTCTCCACATTTAAAAACAAAAATAATCAGGCTAACCAAGGTCTAAGAGCCAGTTTGGTGTAGTGCTTAAAGCACCAGGCTAGAAGCTGGGAGACTCTGAGTTCTAATCCTGTCTTAGGCACAAAGCCAGCTGGATGACCTTAGGCCAGTCACTCCTCTCAGCCCTGGGAAGGAGCAATGGCAAACCACTTCCGAAACCTTCCAAGAAAACTGCAAGGAATTGTTCAGGCAGTCAACAGGAGTCAACACTGACTTGAAGGCACAACCATCATCAACATCATTATCAAGGACTAGAGGAAGTAATTGTGGTCAACTCCATCTGCTTGTCTTTTCTGATGACTGATCAAAGCCACTACAATATCCTTTGTCATGCATGGTGTAAGGGCATATATAATACCCTCAAAATTCCAAAAGCATCTACTGGTCCAAAAATGTTTGGACCCTCTGCATAACATACAATAAGGATACAAAGGTGATAAGGATACAAAGGTGCTGCATTTCAGAAGTTGTGAATGTAAATTGCAAATCTATTTACAGGCTCCCCCCCCCCCCCATCCAGAGTGAAATGCTGACCTCCCAATGTAGTTAGAAAGTAGATTTCTTCTGCTCGGTATATCCCTAATGGCAAAGTACAGAGATGATACTTTCCCATCACAGATTGGAAATCTATAGATATTTGCTTTCTCCCCATGGTTTCTGCTTTGTCTTCTGTTAAGGACACTTTAAAGATCTCTCTG